TGATAATAATGATAATAATGATAATAATGATAATAATGATAATAATGATAATAATGATAATAATGATAATAATGATAATAATGATAATAATGATAATAATGATAATAATGATAATAATGATAATAATGATAATAATGATAATAATGATAATAATGATAATAATGATAATAATGATAATAATGATAATAATGATAATAATGATAATAATGATAATAATGATAATAATGATAATAATGATAATAATGATAATAATGATAATAATGATAATAATGATAATAATGATAATAATGATAATAATGATAATAATGATAATAATGATAATAATGATAATAATGATAATAATGATAATAATGATAATAATGATAATAATGATAATAATGATAATAATGATAATAATGATAATAATGATAATAATGATAATAATGATAATAATAATAATAATAATAATAATATAATAATAATAATATAATAATAATAATAATAATATAATAATAATAATATAATAATAATAATATAATAATAATAATATAATAATAATAATATAATAATAATAATAATAATATAATAATAATAATATAATAATAATAATAATATAATAATAATAATATAATAATAATAATAATATAATAATAATAATAATATAATAATAATAATATAATAATAATAATAATATAATAATAATAATAATAATAATATAATAATAATAATAATAATATAATAATAATAATATAATAATAATAATAATAATATAATAATAATAATATAATAATAATAATAATAATAATAATAATATAATAATAATAATAATAATATAATAATAATAATAATAATAATATAATAATAATAATAATATAATAATAATAATAATAATATAATAATAATAATAATAATATAATAATAATAATATAATAATAATAATAATAATAATATAATAATAATAATATAATAATAATAATAATAATATAATAATAATAATAATATAATAATAATAATATAATAATAATAATATAATAATAATAATATAATAATAATAATAATAATAATATAATAATAATAATAATAATAATATAATAATAATAATATAATAATAATAATAATAATATAATAATAATAATATAATAATAATAATATAATAATAATAATATAATAATAATAATATAATAATAATAATAATAATATAATAATAATAATAATAATATAATAATAATAATATAATAATAATAATATAATAATAATAATATAATAATAATAATAATAATAATACTATTTTTCACTTTGTCATTCTAAACAACTGCAATAGGTATGTATTATACCACTTTTTTGCATGTTCTACTTTGTACTTCTAGTAAAGTAGCCAGCACCATACCTGTGCTCTCCTGTCAGGTCTCAAGAATATGTACTGTTTCTGGGCAAGATTTTTACACTGATACAAAGTGTGCAATCATCTCTCGTTCTTTATGTAGTCTGCAGAGTAGGGAGATGTTCTCCCTGTCTGTGTGGTGTTTAATAGCTCTTGTTCTTATTCCTTGTTCCTGAGCTGCCATTAAAGTACCCTCTGTAGCCCTTTTCAAGTCACCATACGTCAACCAGCTCCAACTATGGGTATCCTTGAATTCAATTTTACTGAAGAATATGCTGTCAAGGCTTTTGTTTTTTCGAATTGCTTTTCCTACTCTCTTTGATGGTCTTATCCTTTTAACTGACTCTAAGATTGCCTCTCTTTCAACCTCCTCCATCATAGGCTCTGGGTTGGTTATGGACATAATCATATAAGTAGTACTTCTCAATCAAGACGGAATCCTTAACACTGACTAACCCTCTACTACCTTCTGATCTCTTAGGGTACAGATGGTCTACATTTCCCTTTCTATGGAACACATTGTACGTGACATGGTCAGCAACTTTCAGCTTTTCCTGTCCAGCTCTTAGAGATTCTTTATCTTCTATTCTACTGTTCCTGCATTGTACCTAATGGTGGAGACTGCTCTAGAGTTAATAGCATTGATGATGTTCTTGCCGTTTAACATAGATTTTAAAACATTCTTTAGCATCCATCTTTATATATATATTTTTTATTCTCTTCTATTTCACACTTTCAGATTTCAGGATACCTGGGTAGCTGTTTTCCACTTTGATTTATTTTATCTTTTCTCCAGTGGTATATCTATCCCTTCTTTGTGAGCATGTTTCCTTTCTTCATAACCAGAATGTCACATTTACGTACTCCAAACTCAATCCTAAAATCTTCACTGAAAATGTGTACCAAATTCATCAATGCATCCAGTTATTTTCCTGATTTACTGAAGCTTTTAGGTTGTCCATATAAAGTAGACGGTTCACAGATGTCCCAATTTACCATACTCATAGCTCTGTTTTAGTTTTCTTTGGATGAGTGTAAGAGGAATTAGAAGGATAATGAAAAGAAGAGGCAACAAACTGTCACGTTAAGAGATACCTTGTATAAATTTCACTTTACCAAATCATCTCCCCTAAAAGTAAGTTCCATCTCCTAGTTACTCAGTTAGATCTTTAAGGTTGTCTGCTATTTTGAAGATCTTTAGAGATGATCCGTAAATGTGCAATCATGTCAAAGGCTTTCTTGTAGTCAATCCAGCCCAGCCATTTTCGAGCCCTCTGATCTTTTTAGGCATATTCTCTGCTCTTCTAGCTGTAGACTGTTTTCATCCAAGTGTCGGTAAACCCCTTTTTATAATCACTGGTGAGTAGTGAGATTATTGTGATTATGATTATAATTGTTATTTCTATTATCATTACTATTATTATTATTGCAGTTATTGTTATCATCATTATTACTA